AAGTTTTTCAGTGATGGTCCACGATTCATGACCGTAGGTAAGTATGGGGATTAAGATCGACTTGAATATTCAGAGCTTAGTTTTCAGACTGAGCTCTGCATTAGTCACAGTGGTTCGGGCTAGTTCACGCAGAACGCCACTGGCTACTCCAATTCGCCGGCTGATCTCTGCCTCCAATTTTCCATCACTAGTAAATATAGTTCCGAGGTACTTGAACTTTTTCACCTGCTCCACTGCCTCTCCGTTAATCTGAAGAGAGCAACGGACAGGAGAACGAGAAAGCACTAAGCTTTTCGTTTTAGATGCATTCACACGCATGCCGGTCACGTCACAGTCGGCTGCGAACCTTTCTAGGGAGCGCTGAAGATCAGCTACAGAAGACGCTAATAAAACAAGGTCGTCTGCAAAAGCAGCCTTCTCCACTTCACATCTCCTACACTGATCGCCTTGGCAGCTCCTGACTATTCTATTCATGTACATCACAAACAGGATAGGGGACAGGACGCAGCTTTAGCGGAGACCAGTACGAACGTTGAATGGTTTCGACTTAACGCCATTAATTCTGACACAGCACCTGTTATCGGAATACAGTGACTGGATGGCCCTTAGCAACTTGCCATTAATCCCGTATGCACGAAGGCATGTCCACAGACTGTTGCGTGGGATCCGGTCATACGCTTTCCCTAGGTCAACAAAACATGTACACCGGCTGGGCGTACTCCCACGATTTCTCAAAAATGTGGCAGATGGTGAATATATGGCCAGAGGAACTGCGACCGGGCCGGAAGCCATACTGTTCTTCTTGTATCCTGAGGTCAGTTATTTCACGCATCTACTTTCTAGCACCTTGCGTAGACTTTACCTGGGAGGTTCAGTAACGTCCTGCCCTTTTAACTGAAGCTTTCCTTGTGATTTCCCTTCTTGAATGCACGTACAATAACTCTCATTCTCCAGTCCTCTGGTGTTACCTTGTAATCATCGCAGTTGGACAGACACATGTAAGACAGAACATGCCTTGTTCGTCTAATGCCTTGAGCATCTCAGGGCGGATTTCATCAATTCCAACAGCTTTTCCATTTTTCAAGGTTTACACAGCTTGTGTAATTTCATCTACAGAGATGGTAATATCCGTACCGTTCTGGTCTGCAGGCAAGTCTT